GGTGTACTACAGCTAACAGTGCTTGACCACTGAAATCTAAAAAATAGTCAAGGACTACAATCTCATTGGCAACAGTAGGCTATTTCCTCAGGAAGCTAGCTTGGCTACAGATTTTTTTTAAATATGTTTCTGTAATTTTGTAGGCACATCTGTGGCCCAATGACAAAGACTGGAACTTGACAAACTGAGAGAGGAGCATTTATTCATCTTTCAGTGCACGTACGTTACAGATAAACCTGTACTCTTTGTTAAAATACCGATGGGTGTCAAGCACGCTAGTCAAGCTGCTTGTGACTCAGTTTTCATGCTGAAGGGCATTCCGCATAATATCTTGCAGATCATCAAGAATGAGATTTCGTACCAGATTGGTCAGGGGCCGGATTAACAATGACCACCAGATGCTGTTGTCCAACAGGATCCCGGTGGAAAAAAGAGAATTGAAATGGGGAAGGCATGTTAGGAGGCAGGTGGAGAGAAGGGCTGGAGTGACAGAGGAGGATGCAGGGTGAGATGGAGGGAGATGTGCAGATGTGTCTCTGTGGGCACCCCTGCAGGAAGGAACTAAAAGAGAAGAAGAAGAAGACTCCGGCTAATGCATATTGGAGACTGCCCTCTGTTCCAAGATGAGTTTGGTTTCTGGGACTTGACAGTCCAGCAGAAGCAATGGCATTCAAGTGATAGTCAGTCATTAGACAAGGTTTTTTTTATGCAACAATGGAAAGACCAGTTTGATTGAAGAAGGCTGTTTTAGCTTATTATCGTTTTTTTCTTGCAGTACTCCACATTTCCCCCAATGTTCTGCCCTTCAGTAATGTCTTTTAGGATGACAGAATTTAGGCGGTATGTAAAATGTTGAGTAATCCACTGACGAACATTGACGTATCCCTGAAAAAGGACATGATTATTCTCGAGCAGGTTACAGCCATAGCCCTCAATCATCGATTCTGTGCTCAAGAAGGTGACCCCCAAGAGTTCTTTCCAGCAGTGGACGTCCCAGTAAATTCGTGCAATACTCAGAGAAACTGCAAAAACCCCAAGATTTACATATCAGACTTTTAGTTCATGATAGTACAATTAGAAAAAGACAGAACAAGTGTGACTTTTCTGTAAGTATTGGCAGAAGAAGCCTCTTCTCTCCAAAAAGAACATGGCAGCAACAGCTTACGTTTACAAAGTTCCACCTCCAAACGATTTCTGGACATCTGCCTTTTGGACAGATGAGACCAAAGTGAACATGTTTGGTGCACAGTATCGTGTTCGAAACAAATGATTTGATGTGATTAATCACATTACCCTGTGATATGTGCATGATTGCCCCATAGTAACCTTACAGTCAGCTTTTTACTCAGTGATCCATCACTAATAAGGCTTTTTTCTTCATGCACGCCTCGTGTTTTGACACGTCTCAGCGGAATATGAAGAACTGAACCATAATACTGTTCATCACACGGTGACCTCGGTAGCCACGGCAACCACAGCATCAGTGGTGACCACATTTGCATGTAACATTGATACCACTGACAATGGGGAATGAAGATAGGACCCAGAATTGAACACAAGAGGATTATTTGTTCATGAAACCGCGGTCTTTGTGCTGACCCTCCAATCTGGAAACTGTGGACACGCTGTATGAAATCTGGATAGGAAGAGAAGTGTTTGACTGTGTGAATTGGTCATTTTTGTTTGTACCATTACAGAGCCTATTTCAGGCAGTCAGAATAGGAAACTTCAGAAAGATCTGGCTGTGATCTACTTCACTGTTATGAAGAAAAACCAAACATGTGCTGCTAAGGCCAAAAATGAGTTATCAGATGCACAAAATTAAAATAACGCTCCTTTAAGAAAATATCTCACTGACTGAATCAAAATATCTGAATTAGTCTCACTGGGCTTTAAGCTATCAGTTTCCCAGTATAAAGTCAGCATGATTTCAGATTGCAACAGTGTGAGAAGGTGAAAGAAGATGAAATCCTGAAGCCACCAAAGTGAACACCTTCCACCACCTGTCTATACATCGACAGGTGGTGTCTATGCCTACACAGGTGGTGGTCCAAAAAGGCTGTCTAAAAAAATATGAACAGAATTGGTGACAAAGGGCAACCCTGGCAGAGTCTGCCACCCACCAGTAAAGAGTCCAACTTATAGCCAGCAATACAGACTAGATTGTAATTAAGAGAAAAATGGGCTAAATAATTGATTTATTATGAAGCATTAAAGCAGTGCTATAAAATGTAGGAATTACATAACTGCTGCCCCACTAGAGATGTAGGTACTTGTTTTCTGGGACGTATGGCTGGATGTTCTGTTGTGGTCGCTGACCCACTCCTTTGGTGGGCCTCTTCCATGTTGGGGAGGGGGGACTCTGCTGGGTACTGCCTGGAGCCATGGGACCTTGATCTCGACTCACAATGGGGTGGCCGACCTCCAGCAGAGTCGGCTGCCCATCAGCTCTGGTCCTCTGAGACTCCTGCCCTTTAGCAACTGGCACCTTATCTAGGGCCTTCCTCCTTCTCCTGCTGGGATGGGCGAGCAGATATCGCTAAGATGTGTGGCCTCAGGTCTTCAGGACTCTTGGGGCTGCAGATGGCCCAGATCTCCTGGACCTATCTCTGTCTGCCTCTGCTTCCCACCTCTTCCCACCATCATTTTCAAGTACTCTGTTTCTGTCTCTCACACTCATACTAAAAAACACCACACAAGAAGATTATTGATTTATGTACCTGAGCATTTTCAAATTTTTGCGTTCCAGCTACTGAATGTTTGTTCTTCTTACAGGTGCTTTCAGATCCTTCTGATTCTGATTGCAAAAGCTGCCAGACGGGACAGGATTTTTTAAAAGTGTGTTTCTCTTTCATTTTTTCACATTCAAAGACATCCAGATGTGTATTTTTCCAGCTGTAAAGAGGTGTTTCTCATCAGCTGAGCAGGGTCCTTAAATTCTTCAGTTGTCTGGTTTGGAGTACATTCGGTCTTCACTGCTGTTTGCACATCAGTGATTTCAGCTTCAAGCACTAGAGGGCAGACTTCAGGCAGCAGCGCTGCGTGGAAACTCAGTGCCATCTGGCTGTGATCGGCTTGAATGTGAGAGAGGCTTTCACTGTTGCCTCCACATCAGGAGATATCAGTTTCATTTTCCATTATTTAAGATTTAATTGGTATGATATAACATGAACCTTTTTGAAGGTCTCCATACAGCTGATATGTTTTTTCAGGTCAGTCATCTTATTAACACTGTGGGAAGTTATGCAAATGCCCAAGGCTTTGTTGATAGCAGCAGAAACAAAGCCTGCAGACTACAGCATTCATTTTTGTTGGAATAAGCTGCTGATTAATTTTTTACTCCAGGAATAAAATTATAATCATAATTTCAGCATTGAGACTGTAGTGTCAGTTCTCCTCTCTCTTCCTTCAACAGACTCTGATTGCAAAACATTGGGCAAAAATCCATCTAAGCAGAGATTCCCAGAGCTCCCTCACTGCCTCCTACAGCTTTTCTGGGCAGGACACCGAGGCATTCCCAAGTGATACAATATGGTATGAAAAATAATATTTCACACAAGGTATCACTTCACAGTGCCGATGTTCCAACCTTTTGTTCAAATTCAAGTTGAAAGCTGATAATATCAACTTAATTTATTACTTTGTACATCAAATGATATTTCTCTCTGAAACTTGAACTTAAACCTTTTATGGGGGCTGTATCACACTGTTTTGTCATATTATTTGTTAGACAATTCAGTTAATTCGGATAATTAAAAAGAACTAAACAAGGTTTAGACGTCCAGTAACCAGAGGGGAGGCCAAGCACACAGTTTACCAGTACACCCAGTTAAACTGTTACTGACTGTTATCCAAGTGAATGGCTGTTTGTTTGTTTAGTATCCCTTCTGAAGGGAGGGAGTATGTAACTGGTTCAGTTTGTTTGTTTGTCCATCTGTCTGTGGGTTAGGTCCCTGAGTCCACAGTTTTCAAGATATCATTTTGAATTTTTTTGTGATGGTAGATGCCAATAACAGCTCGAGCTGATTTAATTTAGGAGAAAATCAGGTAAAGATGAAGGTCACATCAAAACTGAAAATCAGTTAAACTTTTATAACTCACACTATTTGGTTGGGAAGTCTTTGACCTTGACCTTCATTGTTAAAGGTCAAAGTTGACCTTGAAGAAAATTTTCAAGAAACCATACTGAGTACTCTGTTACATGAAAAGGGACGGAGAGAACTGTAAAACACACTTTATATATTTTTAATATGACACCCTGTGACATAACAATGACATCATAACAGGCTAACCTCATCATACTGTAAAAAGCATTAGAAACTGTCAGAGTTCTAGTATAGCCTTTGCCCTTCGAGTGCATGCTTACCAGGCTGTAAACATGTTTTCTGAGAGTTTATAACGATTGACTCATTTTTCTTAAGTGGTCACAAGAGAAACTCGTGTTTTTGATTCTTCCTGCTTTGCGTCATTTTTACGCGCAACAATAACTGAGGAAATGACAAGTATGGTAACTAATATCAAATGTCACGCTGTCAATCCTTTTAAATAATCTGGATAAATTAAAGTAAAATGGCAGTTTATTAGAAACGTAGACAAACACAAATCCAGTGATTCCAGACGGGGCTCTATCAAGTAAATCGAAATATGATTAATGAATGTCTAGTCACATCAGCACATTTTAAACACATTAATGTGCACATAAGAATACTTGAGGACCAAACTCAGGGGATTCAGAGGTTAATTCTATCTGAAGAACAACAGCGCACGCTGTCTTTACTGTTCTTCGACATGGTTGTCATTAATTAAATTATGCTAACAAGAAGACATCATGTCTGTGTTTTCTACACCCCAGACCTTTGAAGGATGTGAGAAGACTAAAAAATTGCTTCTTCCTGTTGAATTTTTCTCGTCATCATAACAAAAGAAAGGGCAAAGTAAATGGTACAAATCCTGAGGAAGTAGCAGCCACTTCCTGTTCAGTCAAGCGTGCCCGATAAGACATGGAACAGCCCTTCAGCACCACTGCCTTCTGTTCACTCCACCTCTCCCTAAGTAATAAGTCCTCCCTGGTCTGGCTGTGACTGCCCTTTCTGGCCTCTGTCCTTGCAGATGTATTGTAGTCTTTCAGCGGTAAACCACCTTCACCCAGGATGGGCTGCAGACCCCCCGGCTTGCTGTTTCTGACTAGCCTGCTACACATCTGTAAGAACCCAGACTGAGGATGAAGGATGTTACTATATTATAAACAAAATCTCCTGATTTTCACCTGATATTTTTTTTTCTTCCACTCTGTGTGACTTACAGGGCATTGTGCTGGAGGACAGGGGTGTAAGTATAACTGCATTACACGCCTGATCTTATAATAACTAGTGCAGACTCCCCGGTGTAGTAACAGTTACAGTCCTTTCTATATTTAACAAAAAAGCTGTTTTCACACAAAAATAAATTGATTTGTCACAGGCGATGCTGGGCCATGTTTTAATCACCTTCAATTTGAATAATATGACATTTGAAAGCTTTCAGAAGGCAATACAACTAGGTGTCTATAAAGTTGCCACGATCTTAGAAGACCACCTTTCCTCTGAAATAAAGAAATAACACCCGTGTTTAAAAAATGTAATTCGATTCTGGTGTCTCTGAAGTGTCCTTATTAAAGTGGCACCTTGTTGATTTAAACTTTGAAAGCGCTGGGTCATCATCATTCAAAGCTAGGCTCAGGGTTTGTTATTTACAGCACTTCACATCCCAGAATCCAGATTAACAGCAATTGGCTACCGTGAGGATGTGGAGTGATTGTTTCCACTTCCACTGTGCTGTTGTTGTGGAGGGAAAGCAGAAGTTTGAATGAATCCACATGGTTTTCCAAGGGGATGTAGAGGGTCGGCACTGTTTACTGAGGTGCTTTCCTTCCTCCATCAGTTCCTCTGTGCACCCGACTGATGAGCAGGAAGCACCTTTCCATAGTCTTAACCTGGCGCTTGTGCTGCTGTTTAGGTCTTTTTTTATGTTTGTTGATTATTTCTTTCCCCTTCATCTTCTGTTTCTGTGTCTGTGTGTGATATTTGTGGACTACAGCATACACCATAGATACTGTTCGCCTCACAATCGAACCCAGGAACGCAGTTCAGACCGGGACAGCAGTGAGGCTACGCTGCCAGGTCAGCGTCAGTCACAGCAACATCCCTAACCTGATACACAGTTTCCAGCTCACACGGGACGATGTTCCTATCTACACCAACAACGCCACGGAAGACACGGTCGAGTATAAGATCAACCCAGCCAGAGCTGCCGACTCTGGAGATTATGAATGTCGAGTCTCAGTCAAGAACAAGGCCAAAGCCAGCAACAGCCAGAAACTGGACGTGAAAGGTACAGTTACATTTACAAGTAAAGGTCTGGAGATTATTCTAAGTGTGACATTTGCATTTGGAAACTGTTTTTATAAAGCCACAAAATGCAATCAAAGGAGCTCTCAGCACAAACAAAGCTTATCATCTTTTCTTTGCACAAAATGTATTCATCAAGGAGAATCAGAGCAGAAGGAACGCCTAAATTATCAGTTTTTCAGCGCGAACAAAATAAAAAGTGTGCAATCGTGGATGATCTCAGAATTTTTTCTGTGTTAAAAACAAATATCCTGCAGCGGCGGAGCCAAGCTTATCTCAGCATAATCACGCTTTTAAAGTTTACTGAAGACAAAATTGAAAAGGAGGAAGGAAACCACAACAAGAGGAGGCAGCTGCAGTAAAGGCCAACTCCTAAGAAGGAAGCCCATTTCAGGCGGGAGCTGCCTGTCCAGTGTCCAATTACATTTGAGCCCTTAAAAACTGGCAGCTGTTTAGGGAAACTGTCGCACTTTCTACACATTTTATATGAAATGAGTTCAACATCTGAATCTAGATTGTTTGATGTCACACATATCCAATATTTTGTCTAAAATTGAGCCAATTTTCTAATATTTCTGGATCTAACTACATATGCACTGTATTATTATATATATTATTTGAACTATAATATGAAAGTAATATGAATAGTAGGTTCACATCTGTAGTAATGTGGTTGTTTTGCTTTGCTTATTTTTTATGACTATGAATAATAAGATATATACTCCAAAAATATTTTGCGGCCCCAGACTTTTTTCAGTTTGTCACCAAATTTGTGAGCTACAATCACACACTGGCTAATGAATGTCTTCCCTCAATTGTATTTTGGCAGTAGAGCTTCTCACGTCCAAGTGCATGTCTCGTACCCCCTTTTCTTCCTGCCTGGCAGCTCCATCTTCAACATCCCTTGTCCTCCTCTGCAGATGCTCAAGCCTTTGCAGCCTTTATTCGCTAACTTTGTCCAACATTTGGAGAAACTAATATACTTAATATACCTGAATGTGCTTTTCAGGCTTGCAGACCCCGACCCTGCATTTGACTACTTCATCGCCCTATGAGAACGAGGAGTTTAAAGCCACCTGCAGTGCTCCAGAGGAGAAAGGACCCCTTATTTTCCAGTTTTACCAGAGCTTTAAGACCGGATCCCCTGAGGTCATAAAGCAGCTGTCACAGGGGGGCAACTCATCAACGGCTACACTGAGACTGAGTCACATCGGAAACTGTATCCTCTACTGTGACTATGAAATCCGTTTGGTTTCCGGGAACCAAAAGTCTAACAGTAGCAAAAAGGTTGAACTCATAGTCAAAGGTGAGTCGATCGAATGTTGTTATGTCACAATGAAAAGCTCTGAGTGCCTATGGGGGAGTGTGTCTGACTATTCTGGATTTTGTCTTGTAGCACTCCACATCGCCCCCATCATAAATATACTTCCCTCCAATAGTCTCTCTGAGGGTGATATAATTGAAGTGGTCTGCAGAGTTGTCAGTCCTCCGAGCAACACTGAAGTGTTCTTGACAAAAGACAAAGTGATCCTCAAGCAGGTCAGAGCTGCAGCCCTGAGTCATAAATTCACTGTACGAGAGGATGACTCTGGAGAGCTTGTGTGCAAAGCAGAGTGGGGCAGCGTGCAGAAAGAAACCTCGCGAAGAATCACAGTCAGATGTAAGCATCAATTACTCTGAATTTTTCAAACATGGCATCATTTTTTTTCATCTTATCAAATTAAATCGAATCAAAAATAATATATATGCACACATAAAGATTGTATGAATCCTTAATTTTTGCTCTCTAATCCCAACAGCGCTGTTTTCAAAGCCACAGCTGACTGTGGAGCCCACAGACATAGTTGAAGGAGACCACTTCAAATTGACCTGCTCTGTTAGCATTCTTGATTCCAGTAAGATCAACAATGAAACCATGCAGTACTCCATCTTCAAAGATAAGACTGAAGTCGCAAATACTGCCACGTATATGACTGTGGCACAACTTTCTGCAAGTGGCAACTACACCTGTAATGCCAAGTCTGATTCTCTGACACGCACTATTGTGAAGGAGAGCCAAAAACATTTCGTCAAGGTCAAAGGTGAGTTTAATCCAACCGAAGTTTTGCTGTTGTCACAATAAAGATGTGGGACATGTTTTACTTTGTTAGCCATGCACGTAATGTGTCAGCCTGTTGGTCCGTTTATTCTGTTCGTTTAGGCTTAAGTGTTACATTCAACATCTATTTAGAAGAAATTTGGAGACATTTCTGAAAATTCTGTGAAAAAAAAAAATGGATTCACTCCTCTGATGACACCATTAGCCATTTTCGCACAGAGGTGCATCTAGGAATGCAAACACCTGACTCAGTCAGATCACACTGACTGACCTTTTCTTAAACCAAACTGAGTATCATCTGTAGAGAGAACGTGCGGGAATCAGACCCTGTCCTGATCTATGCAACAGGTGAGAAACCTCCTCCTAAAATAGTGCACAGTTCAGAGTATGAAAACAACTATCAGGTCTATTTTTGTATTGAAGAAAAAGGTCATGAGATTCCCATCATCCTCAACTGTACTTTGTGTTTTGTTTCAGATCACACTTGTTAACATACTAACACACTATACGGTGATGGGGAACTAGCATAAGAGGATGAGCATATTGGCATTTACCTGGAAGCCTTACAGTGCAGCATCAGAGTTCCCAGCATGGCTGTAGACTCACAGTCTGGTTTAATGCTATCTTACTCTCCATTCCCAGTTCCTGTTTCAGAGCCTGTGCTGTCTGTGGTGGGAGGTACGCTGTTTCTGGGAAAGCCCTTCCAGTTGAGTTGTTACAGTCAGAGAGGCACTCTGCCCATCAAGTACACCCTGTATCAACCTAGTAAACCAACCAACATAAAAGTTGTGAGCAAGCGCGATGAAAAGGCTATCTTCAACCTCACATCCATCACCCAAATATCGGACATAAAAAACATTCTTTGCCATGCAAACAACAGTCAACTAAAGCCTCCCACGGTGGGAACAGGAGAGCAACTACTAAAATCGTCCGACATCATAGGTTTGTTGGACTGATGACCATGAAATGAATAAAACTGATATAAAACATGTTGAACCCAAGTCTAACACGTTTTTTTTTCCTCTGTGAAGAACCTGTGTCAAAACCACACTTGACCACTGAGCCCAGGATGGAGGACATCTCTGAGGGTTACAACATGACTCTTGTCTGCTCTGTTCAGAGAGGTAGTTTTCCCATTAACTTTACCTGGTACAGTCTGGGAAAAGGTTTCCTTGATTCTAAGACCTCCAGGAAACTAAAAGAATCTCACAGCATCAGCAATGTCAAAGGAGATCATGCTGGAGGATACTTCTGTGAGTGCACAAACCCAGCTGCAGAGCCCAAGCAAAGTGCCATCATCATAATTAGAGGTGTGTGTTTTATCTTCAGTTAAATGTGTGTGTGTGTGTG